ATTACCCAGCTAATTGTTGCATAAACGAGTTAATGCAGATGGCCTGGCTTCCATTGTAGAACTCCCACAAAGGATAATTCAGAGGTAGCCTGGCTCACCTTAAGCTAGTTTTTTGCCAGATTCCTTGTTATAGCATGTTTTAAAATGCCTTTCGTGAGAGTCAGAACTTCCTTGTAGAGAAAAGAAAATCAGTGTTTCTAGGTGACGTCTTTTGCCAGAGACAGACCATCTAACTCAATGCTTCTGAACACTGATAATCCCAAATCATTTTATTCTAAGTAGTATTCACATTTAAAAACTATTCCTCTTCGTCACCAGGGGATTTAAAGAACAGGTGATAATTTGTTGAAAGCTAAAACTTCAGGTAGACCATGAGATTTTAACATTTTTTGTTTGTATCCCTTTTCCAACATCCTTAAATATGTTTTTCCTTTTCTTTTCAGACTCCTGTGTTACAGTACCTGTATTTCTTAGCCCAGATTCCCATTGCTATGTCACCATTAAGTAACAACAGCTTATTTCTAGAATACGCCAAAAACCCTTTTTTAGATTTCCTCCAGAAAGGGCTGATGATCTCACTGTCTACAGATGACCCAATGCAATTCCACTTCACCAAGGTACGCATATGGAATCTGGAGCAATACAAGCATATTTTGCTGGGCTGTTGTCTCCCACCCAGAATTTAAGAATTACATCAATTTATTTCACTCTTTTTTGTGTGCAAGATGTCGTTCTTTTAATACATTCCTTTCCTTTCTTTTTGCCTCATTTAAATACATAACTGAAGGAGCCACTAATGGAAGAGTACGCCATCGCTGCCCAAGTCTTCAAGCTGAGTACCTGTGACATGTGTGAAGTGGCAAGGAACAGTGTTCTGCAATGTGGAATTTCTCATGAGGTAGACCCTTCTGAGTTTAGATCTGGTCACTTGAATACTGAAAATTGAGCTGGAGATACATATGGAAAAAAATTATCCCGCAAATCACATGCAGTTGCTATGGACAGAGACTAGAAAGAATTACTCTAGTTCTCTGGCCATGCCTTTTGGGTAAGGGAAACCAAATGCACTTGTGTCTCAGCAGGCCATGCACACCGAGACACTAGAGGAGTGCTTTTAACAATTAGATTTTTTCCCTTTTGCCAATGGCTAACATAAGTAAGGAATCTTTGTGGAGGATGTAATTCTTGTCTATATCAGGGTAAAAAGAGACAACAGCTATTCTGCTTACTTTTCTCTTACAGGAGAAGGCAAAGTTCCTGGGCAACAATTACCTTGAGGAAGGCCCTATGGGAAATGATATCCGGAGGACAAATGTAGCCCAAATCCGCATGGCCTATCGCTATGAAACCTGGTGTTATGAACTTAATTTAATTGCTGAAGGCCTTAAGTCAGGAGACTAAAATAAATAAACCAAATAATAATATCAGTGAGATTTTCATTGTAGTATGTGGATACTAATGACCAATTATTGAATTCCTACTACAAGCCAAGGATCGGATTAGATATTGTCCCACTGACATTTCATTTAACTCTTTTCACAACTTTATAAAGTAGGTATTATTATCTCTATAGTGGGGAGGATGAGTAAACTGAAGTTAGTAAAGTTAATAACCTGCACAAGAATACACCTAAGTGGAGATACACAAGAGTGGAGATCTAGGTTTGTCTGATTCAGAATTTCCATGACTTTCAGGCAACACAGTTATTAAGGTGGAAAAAAAGTATAACCAATGACTTGTTATTGGGATAACGTAGGCTTTTGGTTTATAGAATAAAAACTTGCTTAAGGCACTTTGATCACTGAAAAGTCCTTTTGACAGGATTTAACTGAAGAGTGGCTTTCTTAGACAAAAATAGAACAAGTGTAAGTATAATAAATCTGTACTTATGAGTTATTATATTAGTGAGACTTTATCTTACAAAAGGATTCTTAGCTTTAAGAATTTAATTGATAATAAAATCATAGTCATTTGTAGTGATGTATTTTAAATGATTTCACTTACCAAAATAAGATGTAATGTCATTTTCTAGAAGTTGCCTATTACTCAAGCTGAGGTCCATTTAGCCAGACTACACTTATGCACATATAATTGTGTTGCCATGTAGTGGTTGGACTGATACTTCATTCAAATTATTCATTAAACAATTACTGATCAAATATCTAAAGTATCAGGTACTATTCTAGACAGCAAAGGTATAAAGAATACAATTTCATTTCCACTCTCAAGTGTGAAGTTACAGGATCAGTGGATACAAATGTGAAAAGAGCATTTTGTGAAACATCTCAGAAAGTAATGACATTTCAAATGCAACAACAACAACAAACAACGACAACAAAACAAAAGAACACAACAAACCATCAATAGCAAATTCCTGTTTCCACACTCTGTACAGGTAGCTGTAAGCATAGGTGTGAGCTCAACAGCATGTTTGTACTAGCCCTAAGAGTCCTCTCCCTGGTTTCTAAAGTTGAAGTTCTATTAGCTGAGTATTTGTAAGTCCCTTAGAGAACCTGATTTTATTTTACCTTATCAAAATAGTACAAACTGCTAAGTTAAACATTCTATTCTCAGATTTAAAAAGACACTACCTTGGACAGCTACATGCAAAAAAATGAAACTAGACCATCAACTTACACCATACACAAAAATAAACTAAAAATGGATAAAAGATTTAAATGTGACCCATGAATCCATAAAAATTCTAGAAGAAAATGTAGGCAACAAAATTTCAGACATCATACGCAGCAGAAGTTTCACTGATACATCACCTAAGACAACAGAAACAAAGGGAAAAATAAACACATGGGGCTACATCAAACTAAAAAGCTTCTGCACAGCAAAAGAAATAACCATCAAAATGGAAAGGCAACCCACTGTATGGGAGAACATCATTGCCAATGATATATCAGATAAGGGGTTAATTTCCAATATATATGGAGTGCTCATACAACTCAATAAAAGGAAGACAAAGAACCCAATTAAAAAATGGGCAGAGGAGCTGAATAGACACCTCTCCAAACAGGACATACAAATGGCCAAGAGACATATGAAGAAATGCTCAACATCACTAATCATCAGAAAGATGCAAATTAAAACAACAATGAGGTATCACCTCACACCTGTCCGAATGGCCGCCATCAACAAATCATCAAACAACAAGTGTTGGCGAGGGTGTGGAGAAAAGGGGACTCTAGTGCACTGCTGGTGGGAATGCAGACTGGTGCAGCCACTATGGAAGACAATATGGTATTACCTCAAAAAATTAAAAATTGAACTTCCATTTGGCCCAGTGATCCCACTTCTAGGAATATACCCTAAGAAGCCTGAAACACCAATCATATATGTACCCCCATGTTCATAGCAGCACTATTTACAATAGCTAAGATCTGGAAACAGCCCAACTGTCCATCAGTAGACGAATGAATAAAAAAGCAGTGGTACAGCCCTGGCCAGTTTGGCTCAGCGGTTAGAGCGTCGGCCTGCGGTCCAGAGAGACCCGGGTTCGGTTCCCGCTAAGGGCGCGTACTTCGGTTGCAGTTTGTCCCCGGCCCTGGTCAGTCGTGCGGGTGGCAGCCACTCGATGTGTCCCTTCACATCGATGTTTCTCTCTCTCTCTCCCTTCCACTCTATCTGTACAAAAAATGGAAAAATATCCTCAGGTGAGGATAAAAAAAAAAAAAAAAAAGCAGTGGTACATATACACAATGGAGTACTATGCAGCTGTAAGCAAGAAAGATCTCTTATCCTTTAGACGACATAGAGGGACCTGAAAAGTATTATCCTAAGTGAAACAAGCCAAGCAGAAAAAGACAAATACCACATGATCTCACTTATATATGGACTGTATTGAATATAACAGTCTGAGGAATAGGGTGGACCCAGAAAAAATAAATAAATAAAAATAAAAAGACACTACCAGTAAGTATATCTCCATCTTACCCATGAGAGGGCAGTAGAATACATACTTGGTAACTCACTTATTACATCCATAGAACCCATGCCAGATTTGGTTTTATACTAGGTATATGTAATCAATCTGCCTCATTTTGTCAAATAATCTTCCTGAGTGCAAAGTTTGAACTTTGAAATAAATTTGAATTTTGGAATAAATATTAACCACATTATTCTAGCCCAAAATTTCATCTTAGACAGCTGTCTGGGAAGTTTTCTAAATATGTAAGGACTTGGGGATGGGAGTGGGTAATCCATAAAGATCACGGTTCAAAATTTACTACAAACAATACATTTATATCCTCATTGAGTCATAATTTTAAAAAATGTTTTGTCGCCCTGGCCGGTTTGGCTCAGCGGTTAGAGCGTCGACCTGCGGTCCAGAGAGACCCGGGTTTGGTTCCCGCTGAGGGCATGTACCTCGGTTGCAGTTTGTCCCCAGCCCTGGTTGGTTGTGCGGGTGGCAGCCACTTCATGTGTCCCTTTCGTGTCGATGTTTCTCTCTCTCTCTCCCTCTCCCTCCTGCTCTATCTGAACAAAAAATGGAAAGAAAAAAAAAATGAAGCAATTTCTCAGAAGTTTAAATCAGATAATCCATATAAAGTGCTTAGCAGGGTCTGTATACAGTAGGCACACAATAAATATAAACTATAATTAAAAAAAATGTTTTGTCATTACTTTTTTCCTTTTTTTGGTCACAGAAGGTTAACTCCGGTTTCACTGTCCACAACTCATGGTTTCACAACGGTTTGGGATATGCAGCTTTTATTGCCGCAGCTAAATTGACTTGCGACAGTCATCTGTGATGTGTAACCAAACACCTCTTTTTCTGGCGGTCTTCTATTTTGGTACCTCTATGAGGTGAACAGATGTGGGCAGGGTTTGGTCATCAGACCCAAGAGGCTCTGGCGGAGTGAGCGGAATGGGGAGGGGCGGAAGGGTGGGGCGGCTAGCGAGTGCCTGGGAAACAGGCTCAACTCATCCTGGACTCGCAGCTTTAGTGAAACTAGGTGCTGCTGGCGGTAGGCACAGCGCCCTGCACATACCTGAGGAGGAGCGTGTTGCAGGCGTAGTGCTTCTGAAGGTGTCACAACAGGGCGTGGGGCCGACCTCAGGCTCTGGGAGTATCAAAGGCAGCCCTGCTCTGGGATTTCAAGGCTCAGGTGTTCGGAGCGTTATTTGCATCTACGTTTCAAGTTAGCACTACACTGCAACTGCTCGGGAAACGTGTGCTCCTTGACTCCGCCAGAGAAACGGTAACCCCAGGCCTACTGCGCGCGGTGGCAGGAGACAGTCCATGGTTTCCGTGAGTGAGGTGCCATCGGATTCACCAGTAGCGTGAAGTCTTGTCAAGTTCAGGTCGGTCGCGGAAAGGCCAGTCGGACCGCAGGCACAGCAAGGGCCCTGGAGCTTTTTGCTAGAGGCCCCCGACTGGACGACAGTGGCGGCGGTCACTTGCTGCGGGGCCGCAGCATCGGGGAACCAAGGTCCGGGGCACGGTTCTGGCCGGTAGGCGGACTAGAGCGGGGGCGGTTCCCCTCACGACTGACCCCGGGGCTCCAGGGGCGGGCCCGAGCGTGAGGGGTGGAAACAGCAGCCAATAGGGAACGGGCTCGGCCGGGCCGGGGCGGGGCTTTCGGCCGGGCCTGCGGGGGCGGGACGGAGCCGATCGGAGTGGGAAGGGCGAGACCTAGCGCCTCCGCGCAGGAGAGGACGGCAGCCTCGCAGCCCAGCCGCGGAGGCGGCGTCGGGGCCCAGGGCAGGTAGGAGCGGGGTGATGCGGAGCGGGGTCCGAGGCAGGGGCTGGGGAGCGGGGCCCCCAGGCAGACCAGGCGGGAGCGGGCTGGCGGAGGAGGTGGCCCCGGCCCCGCTGTCTCGGCACCTCCCGGGCCTCGAGGGACGCGCGGGTGTCCGGCGCCGCCGACGCCAGGCTTGGAGCGTTCCGCCTGTCGCCCGCGGCGGTCGTGGCGGAGCCGGGCGGAGGGTGTCCGCCGTTCTCCTTGGGGACGCGGGACAGTCGACGCGTTGGAGCTGCGGCCCTGGGCCGCCCGGGGGAGAGAGGGAGCGCCCCCGTGTGCGGGAGGAGACCGGGGCTTCAGCCAGGATGAGCCAGTTTCAACGTCGACAGGCTGAGACGAAGGACTTCAAAAGAAAGTTGTTTTTTCTGCGTTTTGATTCTTAGCAGAATCTGACAAGCAGCGAAAAAGTCAAGTAGGATTTTGATTTTAAAATCTAACAATGGAACATCTAAGAACTTTGAGTAACTAGGATAGCCGAGGATGATGAGATGATGAGTCAAGGGCTGGAGCCTTGGCCAGGACCCACGGACCAGACGTGCTATACCTCGGTCAAAGCGACTTTTCTGGGCGTCCTTTCCTTAGTAAAACTGGGATGCTCATGCCACAGATGTTAGGTGTTGTTATTTGTGCACCAGCCTTGTGCACGTTGAGTAATTGCCAGACACGTAGTAGGAGCTTTGTAAACTTTTACCCTAAATCTAGTGATTGACCTACAGTGTTTTATTGAGATAAAGTCTTAAATCTCTGTTTACTGTGTAGACAAATTTTTTAAGGACATTTTCCAGAAAAATCACCATTGTTTGAAGTGTGGTCCATGTTTAATTGATTGATGAATTTTTCTAGAATAGCACATGTTATCTATACACTGTTACTAAACCATTTACTGTGAAGCAGTCTATAGTTGTAGTTTAAATTACCTGGGAAAGTAAGCGGGGAGAGTTGCTTCAAATCAAAAGTTTGATTTGCTTTTTAAATATTTAAGTTCTCCAAAACAAAATTAATATATAGATGTATTTTCTGCACAGCCTTTATTATAGACATTTGCATTCTTTTCTATAGATATATGAGTGTTTGAGGGATTTTAGGGGGGAAGACTGGAAATAAAACAGGGAATAGCAGTTTGTAACCAGGTACTGTGTTTGTAACCAGCAGACTTTTACTGGGCGTGTTCTGAATTAGTTTCCCAGGCAGAAACCAGGAAATGTAGTGATTGTGTCTCTTGGCCTTTCATTAATTTTTTTGTGTTGAACGTGGCAATAGATTTTTTTTAAGATATAAAGAAATAATTTTTTTTCTAATGTGACAATAGGCAGTTTTCTAAAGCTGGAAAGTATATTTTTAAATGATCTGTAATGAATCATATTATAGACAAGAGTTTTAGATCACTGAATACCAAGATCAAATTAAATGGAAGAATACCTGGCTGGTGTGGCTCAGTGGTTGAGCATCTATCGACCCATGCACCAAGAGGTCACTGGTTCGATTCCTGGTCAGGGCACAATACCTGGATTGTGGGCTCCATCCTCAGCAGGGATCATACAGGAAGCATTCTATTGATGTTTCTATCTCTCTCTCCATCTCCCTTCCTCCTCCTCTAACATCAATAATACATAAATAAATAAATGGAGGAATAAAAGGGAAAGGTTCTAGTGAATAGAATTTTGTGTTGCATTACAAGTTTTATGTTTCAAAGGTTCAGCAGAAGATGTTTTGAAAACTACTTTAAAACCCCAATGTTAAATATGTACTCCATATATAAATTTTGCTGTGGTTTATCACTTGTTAATATTGGAAGCCTGAAGCTTTACATTTGCATTATTTATTGAGCACATATTATATTCCAAGACACAGTTTGAGCACTTACATTGTACATTATTAGTGTATGGGCAGGATATAATTCTTCCATCCTGTAGATTGTGCTCCTCACAAGTGGGCTAAAATAAGTACCGAGAAAGGTGTTTTTAAAACTGATAACATCCACCAGAAGGACCTACTCAGAGCCAGGCAGTTTTCTAAATTCTTTACATGCATTAGCTTATTGAATCCTTACACAGCACCCTGAGGGGTATTATTATTATGAGCTCCTTGTTGAGAGACACAGAGAGGTTGGGTAACTTACCCATATCAAACAGCCTAGGTAGCAGAGCTAGGATTCAACCCAAACAGTTGGGCTCTCCAAAATCCTGATCTTAATCTCTGCACTACGCAGTTTCAAAGTCTGTGAGTGAGACACCAAGGAAATCTTATGGGTATTTAAAAAGGTTCTGTAAAGAAAATCTTCAAAAAGAAGGAAAGCAAGAGATAGGGAGAGAAAAGAAACTGGTATTACAAGATGTAAATTGAAGGCATGTCCAAGCTCCAGTTTAATTATACTTTGTATATAAGAGCATTTTTCCCCCCTGGTGAATGACGTGGGATTCTTTTTGTCTCTAGGTTCTCAGTTACTCAATTGCTACAATTATGGCATTATCTTAATAATATAAGAGGTGATTATTTTTCAATAAGAAAGTCTGTTCTCAGACCATGAGTTAAATGTTAGATCGAAGAAAATGCTTCCCTAACTTCAACAACCTTATAGCCAGACATTAAATAAGTTCCTACAATTTCAGTGTGATAAGAATAAAAACAGAGATAGATATAGAAAGTTTCACGGGAACATTGATTAGGGAAAATAATGCTATATATGGTTGGGAGGAGGGTTAGAGAGAAGATACAGTATTTGAATTTGGCTCTGAAGAATGAATAGGAGTTTGCTGAATTGGGGAAGGGAACAGAAGACAATAGCTGAAAATCAGGAATATTATACAAAAGTATATAGTGTGTTTGAGGGATGTGTTATAATTCATTGTCACTAAGGTCAGAGTGTTATAGTGATGAGTGGTTGGGCTAAAGGGGATGGTGCTTGGAAATGAACTGGAAAAAGAAATGGCAGAACTTGGATGCTCATTAATTACATTAGGATCACTGAAACTGCTAGAAAAGAGGTTAGGTGTGGGATTTCAGTGCCTCTCATTTGGAATAGATTTGTCCAGTTTGATAAAATTTAAAGGTAGTTTCAATACTCTGAAGTACAGGATATATTATAAAACAGCATACAAATTAGGCAAATAAAAAGTTATGACTCAGGAAAAGAGAAAAAAGAAGTTTGCTGGTGCCATGTGGTGAAGAGCCTGTGTATCATCCTAAGGACTTTGGACTTGATTCTAAAAACAATGGAGAGCCAGTGAATGACTAAGTAATTAGGAAAGATAACATGGTGGTGGTGGTATAGTGTGGAAGCTGGGTTGGATGGAGAGAGATAAGTTAGAAGGCTATTGCTGTTAAAATAGATAAGAAATAGTAGAGATGAAGAGGAGAGGACAGATAATGAGAATGCAGAATTTACAGGGCTTAAAAATTGATTGGCTTAGAAGGTGAACAGAAAAGTAAACAATTAGTTTCTAAGCTTGAGAACTTGTGAATAGAGGAACTTGTTTTATTTTTTTAATGTGAGAGGAAGATAACCACTTCAGTTTTGAACCTGCTGAGTTTGAAGTATCTATGGAGCATTCAGATGGAGATGTCAAGACAGGATCAATAGCCAGGAAGGTAGGCTGAGATTGGTGATTAAGATTTTGATTTAGACATTAAGAGGTCATTGAAGCTGTTAGAACAGATGAAATTGCCCAGGGAGTGCATATGGAATTACAAGAGAGGAAGACCAAGATAAATGATTTACTTTGTGTGAGTGGGAGGGGTTATTTATTTATTTATGCCAATTTTATGTTGTAAATTGTGATTATAAAGCAATAAAATGAATTTTAATGGAAGGTTAAACCACTTTTTCATCCAAATGAATCTGTTCTTTTAAAATTTCACTTGGGCCCTGGCCAGTTTGGCTCAGCGGTTAGAGCTTCGGCCTGCGGTCTGGAGAGACCCGGGTTCGGTTCCCGCTAAGGGCACGTACCTCAGTTGGAGTTTGTCCCCAGCCCTGGTTGGGTCGAGTGGGTGGCGACCACTTCATGTGTCCCTTTCACGTTGATGTTTCTCTCTCTCTCTCCCCCTCCCACTCTGTCTGAACAAAATATGGAAAAATGTCCTCAGTGAGGATTAATAAATTAAAATAAATAAATAATAAATAAATAAATAAATAAAATTTCACTTGGGTTTCACTCATGTATTCCAAAAGTGTATTGCCCAACGTATTACTGGAGTTTTTCTTTGTAAAAAAAAAAAAAAAAAATTATAGCAAATTCACAGCCACTCAAGAAAGAGCTTCCAGTTTTAGAATTATTTTCCTCCACTGTACTTTTTTTTTTTTTTTTAAATCCTCACCCCAGGATGTATATATTTTTTTCTATTTATCTTCAGATAGAGTGGGAGAGAGAGAAACATCAACGTGAGAGGGTCACATCGACTGGTTGCCTCAAGCACAACCCCAGGGCCGGGGATGAACCACAGCCAGCAACTGAGGTTCGTGCCCTTGACCAGAATCAAACCCGTGACTCATTGGTCCGCGGGCCAACACTCTACTGCTGAGCCAAACTGGCCAGGGCTCCTCCTCTGTACTTTCATTTTCATGCATATATAGCTATTTACCTTGAATCAAAGCTATGAGAACATATGGTGGTTAGCTCTTGGAAGTCAGAGACAGTGCTTTTTAAAAAAAGAAATCTTTGCCTCCCATAAATTTAATTATCAATAAATGTTTGCTAGTTGATTCATTTTAATAACCAATCTTATTCAGTCTTGGCTCAAAATAGCTTAGCTGTTTCCAAATTTCTCTTCTTCCAAGAAGAAAGGTTTGCCACCTCTAATGAGACTCAAAAGAATGTGTTATGGCTTTGAAGACATTTTCAAAAAGGGAGTTTCAAAAATATTTTCCTAATTTGTAGTCTCATTAGAATAAGTGGAGGGTCTTCTAAAGCACGGACTGGCAAGCTTACTGTAAAGGGCCAGATGGTAAGTACTTTAGACTTTCTGGG